AACCGGTTTTTATGGCCCCCTCCCCTCCCTCCTCCTCCTCCTCCCTTCTCTTCTTCTCCCTTCTTCTTTTTCTTCTTCTTCTTCTTCTTCGTTCTGCAAAACCAGGAAAAAAAAATCCAAAATCGACACCAAAACGACATCGTTTTGGTGTCGAGCCGCGTTTCGAGCCGCGACATTCGAGCTACGTAGCATGATCGCCAAAAAAATACAGAACAAATGCTTTGCCCTCCTCCTCCTCCTGTCTCCAATGACCTTCCTCTCCTCTATCTCCGGCGTCTCTCTCTCTCCTCCATCTCCGGCGATTTCTTCCATCTCTGGTTTCTCTCTCTCACAAGCTCTGCGATCAAGATCGAGATCGCCGCTAGGATAGAATTTTGAAGGGGTTTCAAGTGTCTTCAACGAAAGGTTAAATTTTTTTTGGCATTGGCGTCGGAATGATAGGAAAAGGAGCAGTGGTAGTCTTTATGAGACTTATTTCCCATAAATTGTTACAATTTAAACCTCAAATGCATCTTAATCCTCAGTATTTTTATTAGATTATATTGAAATTGCTATACATTGGCAAATGGGTTTCTTATAGTATACTGATACATAATATTAATTTGTTTTTGATCTGGCTATTGTTGATTGAATTTGTTGAACTAGTGAAGAAAATAAAAGGAGAAAGAGAAGCATAGAAAAAAAGAAGACAGAATAAATAAAATAAAATAAAAATCAATTCGCCGAAAGGCATGGTGTTGTCGGCATTTATGTTGACTGTGTTTATTTGGGGACAGTTGGATCAACTGGTGAGTGTTGAAATTTATGTTGACTGTGTTTATTTGGGGACAGTTGGATCAACTGGTGAGTGTTGAAATTATGGACAGGGCTTCCATGGTGGTGGTCGTGGGTCTTGAGCTAAGCTGTACGTTGTTGTAAGTGTTCTTTTGGGAGTTACCTCTTAGTCATCCTTCGTCAGACCTTCGTCGGAGTCAAGGAGGGAGAGGGAAAGAGAGAGAGAGAGCCGGACGTCCTTTGTAGGAGTCAAGGAAAGGACGGAGTTGAGGTTGTCCGATCGAAAGTCAAGGAATGGAGGGAGAGAGAGAGAAAGAGAAGGTGCGTGGGCTGAAGGTGCACGTGAATATCACGTGATTGTCCACATCAGCTGGGGGTGCGTGGGGTCAGCCTAATTGGGGTCCGAAACATTTTTTTTTTTAGAATAGTTTATATTTTTTAATAAAATTTCCCTAAGCCTAGCACACTTTTGTGTGTGTGTGTGTCTTCATTTTATTTATTAGATAGCTTTTGACACATTATCCCCATAATAATTTTAATTAAACCTTCAAAATTTTTATCATAAAAACGAAATAGAAAATTAAATTTTACATAATAAAGTACAATATAAAAAAAGATAATAAATATTATTAGGTAAATTAGATTGACCTCTCTCGATAATTGAAAAAAATACAATAAATTTCACAGTTTTGATATAATTATATTTAGTTCTATTTAGATTTTAATTCACATAACACTTAGTCTCATTTTCATCAATAATTTGTTAATAATATTATTATATTTTTTATACGATATATATCATATGTTTATTTTTGTGTATTCACACCATTTGCATTAGCTCCATTTTCATCAATAATTTATTAGTTAATGATATTATCTTCCCTTTTACATGAAAATATATATTGTCTGTTTATTTTTGTATTTTTACACCATCTACATTAGTTTTGATCCATTTAACTGTACTAAAAGGGAGGTCATATAATTATATCAAAATTATGAGACTTACTATATTTTTTTTTAAAAATCTTGAGAGATCAGTTTTACCCAATATTATTTGAAAAAATCCTACTATTAAAATTTCACTTTAATACATCCAGAGTTAGGATAAGCATTTTTTATGCATCATATATAATAAAATAAAATAATGTCAAAATACAAGGGTTGTTTTCTTTTTTTTTTTTTTTTTTTATCTAGTTTGCTTTTGATGATAGATTATTATCCAACTTTTTTGAGATGTTTCAGAGTTCAGAGCCCTTTCTTTCTGATTCTATTGAATGTGAAAGATGTAACCAAACACCTAATCCTAATGAGGGAAAAAGCAAAGGAGTATTGGATCCATCCTTATCTCCAACTCTGATTTTGATTCTGATTCTACTTCAATTTTCATGTGAAAGATATAAAACCACCCCATTAAAGATCATACCACTTTACATATACTCCAATATATTATATTATACTATATATAATAAGAAAATGCATTTAATGAAAAAGAGGGACAAGCCACCAACCGAAAGAGCCTCATCATCATCCTCCAACCACTTTAATAAAAGCTAAATCTACTATGCTCTTCTCTTGTCCATTTCTCTCTCTTTATTTTAAGGAGTTGTTTGAGATGATCTAAATAAATGTATTTTTTGTCTTTTTACGAAAAAATATGCCAAAAAATAGAGAGGTGATGTGATGTGATGAAAAAAAAATAAAAAGATAAAAAGATAGATTATTTTGCAATTGCCAAACTTGACCTAAATCTACTTATTTAACATGAATAGTATAATCTACTGCAACAAGAACACTACAACTCTTTTATAAATCTGTTAAATTTTAAGATTATCAAATTATAGAAAAAGGCTGGGCTTGCCTCCGGTCCACCTCCAGTATGGCCCATTGAGCCCACTTTTAGGCCTCTTTTCAATAATTCAAACCGTTTACATTTTAAGATTTGTTGAGTACACGAATAACCGTTTACATCTCTCTAAAAAATCACGTTGATCGGATAACGTATACTATGTATTCGAATCACTTTTTCATGAACCGTTAATTTTTTGACCATCCATTTTTTTCTAGACAAAAGTGATCTGAATACATAATATTTGTTATCTAATCGACATGATTTTTTTACAAGAATAATGTACTCAACAAATCCTAAAATATGAACAGTTCAAATTACAAAAAAAATGGTCCAAAAGTGAATCCAATTGGCCGAATTGGACCAGACTGTCCCAGATATGAACCGGAGACAGTCCGGACCCAAAAAGGATAGACATTTTCGAAAAGAATTGTATATTGATTATCAACTAAAGACCCACAATGTTTACAACCATTTTATGATAAAGGGGGACCCAATCCGACTGAGAAACAACCAAGTAAGGTAATTCCTTAATTAACACAACAATAATAAGGAAAATTACAAAAAAAATTACAAAGAAAACTTTCTAAAAATAGCAAAACATGAAATTGAAGAACTAAATGATAAAATTCACCCAAAATCTACTAGGATTCATGGAAAGGCAATGGATCTTAATCTCCACAACATTTTCCATCACTCAACCATATTTCACACAACTTTAAAGCACGTGCCATTTGATCCTTACTAATATCGCTTGCCCTCTACCATATTTCATGCAACTTTAAAGCATGTGCCATTTGATCCTTATTTAATATCGCTTGCCCTTTGTTTGACCACGTGTCTATCCATCCAAATGTTCCATAAACTGTATCAACAATAAGTCAAGTAATGCTAGAGACCCCAAATATTCTACCAAGAAAAATGCTTGGGAGCACTAATTAGTGCTCCCACTAATTAGGTGGCAGTGGGTCCCGTCATGAATGATGTGATATTTTGATCTTGGAGTTGTAATTTTTTTATTTTATTTTTATTTTTTTAATGTATTAGTGCTATTAGTGGTGATATTTTTAGTGGGATGAATCATTGTTGTTCTACCAAAAGTTTTACCAAATGTCTCACATGGGTGTGGGACCCACACAATGTGAATCCCATGTAGATCCCACACCCATGTGAGACATTTGGTAAAACTTTTGATAAAATTTTTGAGGCCTCTAACATTTTTGCAATAAGTCATTTGATTTCCAAACACACAGTACTTGGGGTCGGTAGGGGGAATATTAAAAAACTGTCCAAAGGTATTAGTCACAGTACCGTTGTTATTATTATTATTTAAGAAATTTCGTGAGGATGCACAACGGAATTGAGTTCGAGGGTTGATTCTAAATGTAATACTTCAATAGGGAAACAAAATCTAAAAAAAAAACTGCCCTCATATTCTACAAAATAGTGAATAAGCTTGTTGGAAATGGTGTTCCCAATCTTATTGTATTTCTGGAATTTGGAGTAACAAAAATAATTTAAGAATTTCAATTCAAAGTTCTAACATGAATTTGATGGCCCGGTGTATGTGTTTTCCCACTCATTGTTTGGTAAATGCGGGTTAAAGGCAAACACAATTATTGGTGGATCAACACATTGGTTTTTCAGCTCGTCTTATCCTACTTTTATGCAGAGGACAACACAGAATTCAAATTCAAAAAGAGAAGTGATCTTTCGGAAAGTTCATCATATGAGCAAAGAACATTGAGAGAGAGAGAGAGAGAGAGGGAGAGAATCATGAATGACAACAACGCGTGTATGAATTTGAAATAGTTTCAACTAATCCGGGTGCCTCAGGTTAATTGGGCCCATTATCTTAAGTATTCATCATGCACATAGAGAGAGAGAGAGAGAGAGCATAAACATTCATGAACTATATAGATTAGCCTCAAATCATAAACGGTCAAAAAAAGTATCTGCCTAGTGATTCTGCTGACAGTCCTGCCCGAATTCTGTGAAAGCTTTTGTTTTGGATGATAGATTTGTACCCTTAAAAGTAATGTAAAAACCGAAAGAAACCATAAAACTCCCAACACAGCATGATCGGAAAAGGCTTAAATATATGCAACCTTGCCCCACATACTGAGTGTTTAAACAAAATCAAATGCAACAGCCACAAACTACATAATTTAGTACATTTTCCAAAAACACAAACCCTTCAACAACCACCCAACCCCATTTGCTTGGGGGGCTTTTAGGGCAAATGTTGATTCACCAAACATCCAATTTAAGCCACCATCACAACATTTACTTGAGCAACTTGAAAGAAAAACCTTTTAATCCATTGGGCAAAATACATAGCACTTGCAATTACTTTGCAAGTAATCGCTCCAAAAGGCAATGACCAAGCAAAATTCTCTCATCTTAAACCAATTTGATTACACAAGAAACAATTTGGGAAGCCATTCTTCCATCTAATTAAAAGAACACACCATATCTTACACAACTCGAGAGAGTGCAGAGTTGAATGTAAAAGAAGAAAAATGTGAAGAAAAGTTGAGACCTGTTTGGTTACAAACCTGTTTGTGGGGGTATTTCCCATTCCTAAATCAGCAAATGCTCCAACAAAAGCTAATTAAGCAAACAAGAAAATCATAGAATACAAACAAACCCAAAGACACCCATATACAGACAGACAATATAGAAGTCTTCTCTTAAATAAATACACCACACAAAACCTAATTAGCTATCAATCAAGCATTAGGTTATCAATCTTAGCGTACCGTTTCTATGCTCTTACTCAGCTCCTCCAGCTTCTTCATCCTCAATCTCTCACTTTCACCAACCAGCTGATCAAAAAATCACCAAATGCAATTGCAATAACAATTAGAAAAACGAAAAAAATGTTTGACGTAAAATTAAGAAATTCACTGAATTACTAGGAAGCATGGTGAATTCAAAGTCGGTACCGTGTCCGTGTCTGACACACATCGGACACCGAGTTGGACACGCCGTGTGGTGTATCAGTTTATTATTATTTTCATTTTTTGAATGACAAGTTGGGGACACTTCACAAACACACGTGTCTTGTGTTCGGACTACGCCTTAGGACGCCTTGGTCGATTTTTTTCAAATTTTTCGAAAGTTGATTTGGGATCAAAAGTAACATATATGTAAACAAAGAGAGGTTAAGTGGAAAAAAATAAATAAAAATAAGCCCGCACATACATTCATATCTCTTACATGGCAAACAAAAATATATACAGAAATATATACTTTTTGTCATATCCTGCTGTGTGCATATCTTAACGTTAACAAATAGTTGTGCCCAATGTCTGTACCCGCGTTCGTGTCCGTGTCCGTGCCCGTGCCTTGTAGCTAAATTATATTTTATTCCAAATAAGAAAAATTAAAATTGATAATAAACACGATACTAACCTCCATCAATCGGGTAATCAGCTGTACTTTTTCTTTGTTTTTTTCATTGAAAGCCTCGAGAGCTTCTTTGTACTCTCTCTCCTGTGACCAACAAAAGTCCCAAATTCAAAGGTTTGATCCAATTTCTTGCTTAATCAATTAATCGGAGTACTAAACTATGAACCTTTACATCTGAATTGTGAAATTATGGTATCATCACTCAGCATGATCTTTAAGGTTAAGAATTAAATAGTCGGCAATGTTTTACCTTCTTCTGGCAAGTCACACCCAGTGGCTTTAACTCCTTGTTGACAGCATCAATCTTTTTACGAACAACTGAGACTTCTTTTTTCATCGGATCTGCCAGCCCCTCGAGCTCCTGATTGATGTGTATTTGATTTCAAACATTTAATTGTTGGAAAGGCAATTCATAAGCAACTCATGTCCATACCAACACCACTTCGACACTTTTTATGAAATATTACCAGACACCAATATCTCCATGACACATGCACCAACCATCACTAGCATCAAATTATTGTACTTTTGACATGCTTAATGACAAAGCATGATTCGTTTATTGATCAATTAGTAAATGATATGTTTGTTGCAGCTATAACAAAAGACATAAAACCCAAAATAAAAAGAGTGATTCCACTTAGTTCATTAATATAAATTTTTTTCCCATCAAAAGTAGATGGAAAATACATCACTGTCTAATTTCTTGTTCAAAAATTTTAGGTTGAAATTGTTCAAGTTGATCCAAATCCCACGAATCACTTGACCTCCTCAGGGCTACCCGGGAGCGCTTGACCCCCTCGGCCACCCAGGACGCGACCACCGAGGCCACTTTGACCCTCCGGGGGCCACCTAGGACTTGTGTTGCGTAATTACTTGGTATATGTGTGACGCCAAAATGTATTGGGGTAAAATTATGTCATTCTTTTCCAAGGGACGCTAACAATTCACCCACTAATTGGGTTTTGTTACAAATCAAAAATTGACATCTTTTTTGTCATGTCATTATTAGGTGAGAATTTTTAGGGTTCCTCAATTTTTTTCCTCTTTTGCCAGAAAAATTAATTTGATTAAAGAAACAAACTTTAATTTTCCTTTTTCCTAAAATTCAGGCTCGAACAAACATAATCAAGATATAAAACCCACAAATCAAGTGACTAATTGATCTACAAAGATGACTGAGTCTCTGAAATTACTGATTTCCCAAACTAAACTTCTGCAAAGTAGCTCAAAACCGTAAATTTCTAGTTCAGAAACTAAACTGTGAACATGATCTAGTAGCTAGATAGAGAGAATTAGAGATGTACCTCGCGAATAGTAGCTAATCGTCGATTTTCTTCTTCGATGCGACCGAGATGAAGCTGAACTTTCTCTTTGACCTCGAGTTTCTTCTTCTCGATCTCTTCTTCCTTAGCCCTGAAAGTAGAGAGAGCCGATTTCGACATCTCTTCGTCTTCTTTAGTTAGGGTTCCATTGAAGCTCAAGCTTCCAGAGATTTGCCCTGATTGCATCAGTGCTTGTTGTTGCTGTTCACTTGCCTGCCTCTGTGTTTGAGTCATCTTCTCTCTATCTCTCTATCTTTCTCTCTCTGGGAAACCCTTCTTCTTCCTTGAATTCCTCGCTTTATCTCCACTCTCTCTCTCTCTCTCTCTCCTCTCGCTCTCTTTTTTGGCTTTGGAATGATGGTTTCTCTCTCCTCTTCCTGTTTGGAGGTGCTTATGAACAAGGCAGGCCCTAAAGTGTAAATTGGCGCGGGGGTGGGTTGGTTTTTTGATTTTTTAATTTTTTTTTGATTATTTTAATTTGAGTTAAAAGTTTAGTTTGGGAAAGGCTTTTTGAATGTTTTGAATTTTTTTGTGAGAGAAAAGTGTAATAATTATGGATTGGATGTGATATTTTATTTTTTTGACTAAAATAACCTATTTTGTGACTAAAATAGTCTATTTTGTCTTTTGTAATTAAAATAGTCAAAAAAACCCAAATAGTTATTCCCAAACGAAGTCATAGTGAGAGGATTGTTAGTGAAGAGATTGTTAAATGTGTAGATTGCTAGTAAGGGAATTAAGTAAAAGTGTGCTTGTTTTAATAATAGTATAAAAGATGATTAGTAATGAGATTATTTTTTATGTACAATAAATAAATAAATTATTTCTATCTTAAAAAAATAAAACAAATAGGCGTACTTAGTAAAAAAAATAAATTTAAAAAAAATAAAAATTTTATATAAAATAGACTCAATACTCTTATTATTTTCCTAATCCAACTTAAAATTCACCCAAGTTAATCCCCTACATAGGGGGATTACTAAGCCCCCTTTCACTACTAATCCTATGACATTTTGTTGCATCCAAACCAGAGTTGGTGGGTCCACAGATTAGTAATCCAATCCACCCTCTTAAACCCCTAATCAAACATGGCCTTAGTTTGAAAAATTATAAATATTTTTTTATTAAAAATTTTATTTAATAAAATTAATTAAAAAATAAAATTTATAATTATTCTCTTATACAATAATAAAATTATATAAATTATTAATTAAAACAAATTTTTAACATTATTAAAAACTGTTAATTAATTTAATGATTTATTAATAAAATGAATTATTTGTTATGATATTACAAACTTTAGGGAGTAGAATGTAATTTTTAAACCACAAGGAGAGATTTATATTTTAATCAAATCTTAACGTGTGTATTTATAATTTATTTAATTTCAAAAACAAGAAAAAATAAATAAATTACATTTTGCCTTTGTTTGAGAAATTGGCTATATTTGGTCAACCAAAGTCATCTTTTAGTTTTTTTTTTTTTTTTTTTTTTTTTTGAGGTAGAATATTTATAAGTCCTATTTTAAAGATTTACATAATATGTGGTTCTATAAAAAAAATTTATCATCCAATAGATCTTGTGGTTTTTTTGTGGATACATCTACTCCCAATTTTAGTTAATTAATAACCTGATTAATGATATAACATATATGATAAATCTAATATTATCATAGATTGTGATCATATTTATATGGTTAGAAATTTGAAATTCAAAATAACCTAATTAATGACAATATCATATATGAGAAATCTAATGTTATCATAAATTGTGATCATATCTAAGCTATTTGATTTTTTGGCTATTTTAACATAGCTTGTGTTTGAGAACTTGGTTAGTTTTTTTTGTAGTTAATTTGATGATTGTGAGAAAAAAAGTGAAATAGTTATGGATTTAATGTGATATTTTGACCTCGTTTATAAAGCTGGCTATTTTAGTATGTCATTTTAGTTTTTGGCTATTTTAGGCCCCTTTTGGCAAGAGATTAAGCCAACTTTTTGACTTTTAGCCTCCGTTTGGGAAGTGGGTTGACTTTTTGGCTTTTTGGCTTTTTTGGCTATTTTAGCCTGGGCTAAAAAGCTTGGTTTGGGAAGGACTTTTTGGTTTTTTGGCTTTTTTGACTTTTTTTGTGAGAGAAGAGTGTAATGATTATGGGTTGGATGTGATGTTTTATTTGTTATGGCTAAAATAGCCTATTTTGTCTTTTGTGGCTAAAATAGCCAAAAAAACCCATAAACTTACTTCCCAAACGGTGCCTTAACATCTTTTGAGTCACATCACCTCTTTATTTTTTACACATTTTTTCAAAAAAAAAATCAAAAAAACTAGCTCTTAACCTATTTATGTTTGGAAAAATGATTGGAATATTTTTGTAATTGGATATGATGTTGGTGATAGAAAAAATAAAATGACTATGGTTTTAATGTAACATTTTATTTTATTGACTATTTTAGTCTATTTTGTCTTTTTGTAAATTTTAACCCAAAGCTAAAAAAATAATTTGCCAAACACCCCTTTTGTTTTATTAGCTATTTTAATCTATTTTATTTTTTAGTTGGCTACTTTAGCCCAATTCTCTTCCTAAATATGTTGGCTACTTTCTCATTTTGGTTCTTAATTATTTTTTATTTCATTTTGGCCTTTCATATTTTAAATTTTTTTCAATTTATTCTTGAAGTTGATAAAAATGTTACGATAACTATCACATAATATAGAAAATAAATTATTATATTGAGATTTGAGTTTATATTAGAGGTGTGAGCTATATATAATAAAGCCACGGTTTGGCAAATATTTTGGAGCTAAATAATCACAAAAAGACAAAGTAGACTATGAGTTCATTTGGAAAGTGGGTTGATTTTTTGATTTTTTTTTACTATTTTAGCTTAAGGCGAAAAAGCCCCATTTGGGATAGATTTTTTAATTGTTTTTTTTACTTTTTATGAAAGAAAGAATATAATGATTATGAGTTAGATGTAACAATTTGTCTTACTAGGCTAAAAAATCTATTTTGACTTTTCGTGACTCAATAGTTGTTCGAGATATGTTATAGCACTTTTTAACTTTTTGGTTAAAAAAGTAGAGAAAAAAATGTATATTTTGAATAACTTTTTAACTTTTTACGAAAAGATGTAGAATAAAATATTGTAGTAAAATTAAAATAATCATTTTGCCTTTAACTTTTTGACTTTTGGATAGTTGAATTCAAAGGATAAAACAATAAATTTGTCCTAGTGGTTTCCCCACAAGCTACACTTGAATAGTATAAACTTTTTAGTTTTTTAGTAACTTTTTGACTTTTTTAATTTATCCCAAACAAGGCCTAAAATAGCCCTAAACCCAACCCCACCCAAGTTGGCAAACGAAGGCTATATAAGCCAATAAGACAAAATACTATATTTTACCCATAATCATTACACTTTTCTTCCACAAAAGTCAAAAAAACCCCAAAACAAAAACCAAACGAGATTAAAAAAGTCTTAACATAAAAAAGTTGGCTAAAAAAACCAATGCCAAACGAACCCAAAATATTTTTAAATTATGTGACTGTCAATGTATTATTTTTTATCTAATTTTGAACATAAATTAACTTTGGAAGTAAATTGAGAAAAACTTAAAATATGAAGACCAAAGTGAGAGGCAATAAACTTTAAGGGCCAAAGTGAAAAAATGACCAAACATAAAAATGGCAAAAATATAATTTATCCAAAATAAAAAAGCATACTTAAATAATGGGAAAATTACCGCACAATATTGTTTTCACAAAATTATTATTAATTTATTAAAAAATTTAAAATTTTAATTATTAATATTTATAAATTTTATCAATGATTTGTAATTGATTTTCAAAAGGGTAAATTATAAATGCACATCCTGAGATTTTCTTAAAGTATAGATTACTTCTGTGATTTGAAAAATTACAAATACCCTCTTATCAGAATTTTTTATTTAACATAATTAATTAAAAAATAAAATTCATAATTGATCTCATATACAATAACAAAATTACCTAAATTATTAATTGAAACATATTTCTAATATCATTAAAAATTATTAATTGACTTCATAATTAATTAATAAAAGAGGCAATTTGTTATGAAATTATAAGGCCAAGTTTGGGAAGACTAAATAAGTGCATTTTTTGTCTTTTTAGACTAAAAAGTTGAGGTTAAAAATATGAATGTTTGGGTTAACTTTTTTACTTTTTATGGAAAAATGTGTAATAAAAAATTGTAAAAATTAGTTTGTAGGGGAAAATTACAATTGGGAATTGTGCAGCCGTAATTGTTGACTTTTGGTGAATAGTGATGACTTTTTAACTTTTTGAGTAACTTTTTGGCTTTTTGGCTTTTTTTAAACTACCCAAACTTGGCCTAAATCTCAAGGCTGAAATGTAATTTTCAAAAATCACAGAGGTGATTCGTATTTTAATCAAACCTTGGAGGATTTATTTGTAATTTACCTTTTCAAAATATATATTGAATTGTTATTTTTCCTTAAATAATTAAATATATTTTCTTGAAAATAAGTAAATGATAAATTATACTAACTTCCCTTGAAATTTGAAAAAAATACAATTAGCCCTTGTTTGGCATGAGGCTACCAAGCTAAAATAGTCACCAATAAACAAAATAGACTAAAAAATCAATAAAACAAAATGTTACATTCAAACAATAATTATTTTATTTTTTCTCTGGCAATTTTTTTTTTTTTAAAAAAAAAAGCCAAACAGTACAATCTAAACGAGATTTTTTAACCCATATTAAAATAGTCAAAAAGTCAAAAAATCAAAAAGTCAACCCACTTTCCAAATGAATACAGTTTTGACATAATTACATTAATCTCTCTTGAGATTTAAATAACACTAGTCGCTTTTTCATTAAATAAAATTTTAATTGTATAAATAAAAAATAATATTACCATTTCTTTTACATAAAAATATATACTTTGTATTGTTTATATTATTTATTTTTATGTTTTCATACTATTTTCATTAATTTTGGTCTATTAATTTAACCGTATTAAAATAAAAGTTCCTATAATTATATTAAAATTATAAGACTTATGGTAATTTTTAAAGAAATTTTGAGAATTTTTTTAAGTTTTGAAAAAAGTCAATGTAATTTTTACCCATGAATAATCAATGAATCTGTACGCCTGCATATGAGTTACAAAAGCATAACTTGGAACGACCCAACTACCAACCACCACTTGAAAAAAACAGATATAGGTGAACAATTCACCTTATAGAAATAGGATTGTTTGAGCAAATTGAAAACTTGTCTCTACAATTATTCGTGAAATCCACTCTGATGCTACACACATTATTCTGAGAAGAGTTTTAAAATTTATTTTGTTTGGTATTTTTTTT